GTTTTTGTGAAGAAATAAAGAATGGATTGGGGGGATTGAAATGACCCCACTGCAGCAATCAAAGATAGTTCTGCATCTGCTGATGAATGGGTGACTCAAAAGTCAAAGATACTGCAACTATGATAGGCAGAAACCTGTCATTACTTGCCTGGTTTAGATTAAGGTCTCACAAATGAAACAGTATCACCTAATTTTGTTCTCAACCCTAAAGGTTCCCTGATTTAATGCTGTCAACTAGAGCCACCAAAAGTGGATTCCTGGGGCTGGGGCTGGGGCTGTAGCTCAGTGGTAAAGCGCTTGCCTCACATGTGTGAGGCACTGGGTTTGATCCTCAGCACCACATCAAAATAAATAAAGATACTGTATGTTCATCTACAACTAAATAATTTTTTAAAGTGGATTCCTGAGAAAATGTTGACATACTGGAGACTAACACAAACCCCAGATAGCATCATGATTATCCAAGTAATCTAAGTGTTGGTTCCAGGTCTTTCAATTATCTTTCTATCTGAAATAAGAGAGGAAGAGGCATTTGCTAGAACTCAACATTGCTAGAACTCTCTTACTCCATTTGAAAAAAATGGGTTGAAAGTCTGAGGTTGACCCTGGTGGAAGAAAGAGATACACATAGTTTCTCTACTAACTAGTACTGGTAATAAAAGGTAATCTTTAAAAGTGAAAATCTGTCATCCATCCACACAGCCCTCCCCTTTATAGCCTTACACTTCAAATTCCTCATTGGCTTCCCATTGCTTTTACTAAGGACCCCAACCCTACAGGTCTCACCCATGGATTCTGGCCCCTGGCCTGGCTCAAGCCTCACTTCACTGCCTTCTCCTCCCTCTTGATGCTGTCCATACTGCAGCCTCCTTACCCTTCAAGAAATAATAAGGGTACCTGAAATAACATCAGTACCTCCTGTCTGGGGCTATGACCATACCGTGGACTCTGCAGTCCTGTTCTGACCCCCACCTTGTCAGCAATGACCTTGCCTGCTTCAGACTCCCGCTCAAAGTTTCATCACCTCAGACAAACCCCTGTTGACCCCCCGCCCTTGGGCTCCTCAGTGATAGCATCTTACAGAATCCCGCTGCCTCCTCTGATGACGTGTCTGTGACAACTAGGTTAATTTCTGTCTCCCCACTTGGATGACAGGCTTCAGGAAGGCAGGAATGAGTTCTTGTTTCTGTCTCCATTCTATTCCTAGCTCCCAGCACAGTTCCTGGCAGACAGTAGGCAGGAAGCACTTATTGAATAAATGGATATGAATGGCGCGGGGGGAGAAGAAGAAGAAAGAGAATTGATGACTTTGGTTGGGTGGTTTGAAGTTGTTAGGTTTTTTGTTGTTATTTGGTTGTTTTGTTTTTTGTTTATTTGTTTGTTTTGTTTTGTTTTTGTTTTTTGTGGTACTGGGGACTGGACCCAGGGGCACTTTACCACTGAGCTCTGTCCTCAGACCTTTTAATTTTTTATTTTGAGACAGGTTCTCACTAAGCCGTTAGGCCCAAATTGCTGAAGTCTCCCAAGTCACTGGGATTATAGGCAGGCATCACCCTACCCTAGCGGTGGTTTGAAGTTTCTTAGGTTTAGAATGTAGTAATGGGAAGTTAAAGGACAGGAGACTGGGTGAAAGGTGTATCTGGTGGCAACTTTTAAAGAGACTTTCTTCCCAATCACTGGCAGGGACAAAAGCTAGGGCAGACAGCAGAACACCATCAGGAGTCACAACATAACTGCTACCCCATGTCGGATCAAAATACCCAAGTGCCAAGCCTTAGAGTAAATAAAAATTATTCACTTCACAATCAGGAGGAGATGCTGTGGAATTAAAATTGGAGTATATTCTTGAATTGGATTTGATTCTCTAGAGCCCTAAAGTTAACTAGCTGGAATCATTTTTTAGGGACCATTCTATTTAACCTTTGGAAATAAAGTATCTTCCTTTTAATGAAAAAAACTGCTTCTCATTGTAAAGAGAGCACACAGTGTTCTTTGGCTTCTTTGGTGTCCAGAAAAGGGAATTCAGATATCTCCTTGTGCCCCTACTATATCTTGAATCTTCCATATCAACAAAGAGGTCAGACTGATAGCTACCTTTTACAAAAATAATAATAATAAGTAGAGAGTACCAACCCATCCTGAGAAGTACCAGGTAGGCATACTATGGAGACGAGACATGTCTGCTTCTTAAGAAGTCTCAAGAGGCTTAGGCATCCACAAATTGAAGGGCCCCACAGAACTCATGTCAAAGCCATGCTACTCAGACAAGAGCTCGAGTTTGCCATGCATTCAAAAGTTCTGTTGCTCAAGAGCATCAACAAAGTGTGATTACCAACCAGTTGATTAATCAACTATTCCTACTTGGCACAAGTTCCTGCTGTTTCCTGCTGTGATGGCCACAGTGAAGGTAGGTCCCTGCCTTAAGCACACTATAACCTAAATGAGAAATGAAGATGTTGATCAACAACACAATGCACAGTGTTGCTGTCCACGAGCTCATACAGCCTAAGAGCAAAAAATAATATATATAAATGCTATATGCTAAGTGCTTTACAAGTATTTTCTCATTAAATCTTCACAAGTAATGGTCTCTTTAGAGAAGCTGAGTAAGGTATCTAAAGTCACATAATTAAAAAGCAGTTTCCCAAGAGTGATCTGTAAAATTGCAAAGCCTAAAGTGCAGTAAAAATAAAATATTTTAAAGAGAAAAAGCAGCTTCAAGCTCAGTTCTACTTGATTCCAAAGCTCATGCTCCTGACCACTGAGCTCCTGGGGCTTGCAGAGTCCAAAGAGAGGGAGTGTATGGCAAGGCAAGACTCAGTGAGGAAGGGGCGACACCAAGATAGGCCAAAGGAAGAAAGTGGATGTGTGGCACCTTGATGGGAAGAAGGTCTGAGAAGAGGGTCCAGGAGCAAGAGCACAGAGCAAGGCAGCTGCTATGCTATATGATGGGCACCACAGGGTCAAACAAGACACATCACCTAACCTCAGGAGAATGTGTTTTGTTGGGGAGGGTGGATGTTGGTGACAGATGGACAACGGTAACGTTAATGAATGTTAGGGTGAAGAAAAGCCCAGAGGCACCACTGTGTTCCAATTGCTCACACTGCCTGCCTCATTCATTCCTACATCTCAGATGCCCATCACAGTGCCCAATACACAGTAAGCACTCAGTAAATATTTACTGAATTAAAAGAAGAACTTACTGATGCTGAGCCCCAACTCTGCCTCTCAGATGGCTCCTTGCCATCTGCCCTAATTGTGACATGGATCAGAAAAGAAAGACAATACACAACAATTCTTCAAAAAAGTTCCAGTGTGTTGAAGTTGGGTGGAATTGAACAAAGTTGTCTACATTGCTGCCTTCCCTGCTCAGTCATCATGTCCCCTTATCAAAGAGCTTTCCTAATTCTACCACATCCTGTATGCCCTTTAGAAGACTGTTCTTAGACAATACTCAAGTTGATTAATGTTCTTATTCAAATTTGGGAGTCCAGACCCTGACACAGAGTTCTGGTTAAGGTGTAACTTCAGTATCCTTATTCTTGCTGGGAGGCTCTACTTGCTGGAGAGGAGGCAAGAAATCTAATGTCACCCTGTTTTTTTGTTCTCCTGTGCCACAAAGCCTACCTGTAGGTGTGCAAATCTTTGAGGAGTAGATGGTTACAGAGCTCCACTGTTAAATCAAAAGATGCTTACCTCCTACCCATACCCTGCTGTTCTTCCTCCAGCACTGGCTGAAACAACCGTGCCCCCTGCTAGAAGTCCATTTTCCCTGACTATGCCAGGTGGCTTGATGACGCAGCAGCCATCTCCTTCTTGGGTTATCTACTATGAAAATAGCAATCTCAGCTTCTGGTTGGGTCTTCGCATATGACCAGGGCCTCCTATAGGCCCCAGGGTCCCAGCAAAGCATTACTATTCTGGAAGAAGCAGAGAAACATGGTGAGTGACTTGGTCCTTTCAGGAGGCTCAGAAATGACTAAGGGACCGTGGCTCTTGAGGCAGGACAAGTGGCTGAGCTAACAAGAAAGTGAAGGTGTCCTGAAAAGGTAATAAGCATGGAACAACCACCGGGCGAAGTAAGGTTCCAACCTGGACCAGGCTCTCCAGTCCTTAAGCCAGAAAGAACTTCAGTATAGTCTTGGGACATTCTCAACTGCCCCATCCTTACCCCAGGGGTGATGGAAAAGGGTCTCCTGACGCTTCATTTTTTCCTCATAGCTCTTTGCTTCCCAGATATGGGTCTCATGGGAGAATTCTTGGCTTGTCTAATCTTGGAAATCGCCCTTTGGGATAAGTCTTGCTTGCCAGGCAGGTCTGGGCTTCCTGGTTCTGACAGTAGCCTTTTTAACCCTGTAACACCAACTGTCTCCCTGTCCTTAACCATGCCCTTCCCGGGGAAAGATCTTAGAATCTTCAGTGGTTACATGAGGCCCCATGTCCTTGGGGAGGGGTGACGGGCATCCTGGTGCTGGGTCCAGCAGTAAACCTCCCAGGGACAGTGGGCTTCTGCCTTGGCATCTGGGCATGCTGATCATTTCATCCAAAGAAGGCAGTGTAGGGGGAATGGGATGCAATCTAGAGACTTCTCAGGCCTTAAGAATTCCTGCCTTCCCCCTCAGTCTGACCCTCGCAGTGCCCGTCTGGGTCATGACAATGCCCACTGGTTATACAGCGGGATGGGGGGGTGGGGGGGAAGGAGAGTCCAGTTTGCTGGTTTGCTTGGCCGGCCAGGCTCTAGGAATGCGAGCCTTGCCCGCCCCTCCTCCGCGGGCTGTCTCCACTAGCTTCTCACCCCCTTGCTGCCCGCCTGTCCCTTCGGGCTGCTCCGGCGCCACCTATACAGTCCCCAGCCCGCCTCGCCAACCCCGCGGAAGAGCGGCGTGACTCACAGCGCTGCCACCAGCCCACGGTTTGCTGGAGGCAGGCGAAGGGTATAAAGACTGCCCTGCGGGAGGGGACCCAACCCTGCCCTGCCTAGCCCGAGGCTCACAGACATGGCCCCAGGCGCCGAGCAAGGTCACCGAGCAGCCGGCTGGGGACTGCGGGGCGCCCTGGCAGCGGTGGCTTTGCTCTCTGTGCTCAATGCGGCAGGAACGGTGTTCGCGCTGTGCCAGTGGCGCGGCCTGAGCGCTGCGCTGCGGGAGCTGGAGGCGCAGCGCGGCCGGGAGCAGCGCGAGGACAGTGCCCTGCGTGCCTTCCTGGCGGAGTTGAGCCACGCGCCGCGCCGTGCGCCAGCGCCACCCCCGGACCCCGCGAGCGCCGCGCGCAACAAGCGCAGCCATCGAGGGGAGCCAGCACAGCACATCCGCACAGAAAGCCAGGACATGCTGATGATGATGACTTACTCCATGGTGCCGGTAGGCGGGGGCTCGGCTCCCGGTGGCGCCCCCGCCGGGCAGAACCTCGGGAGGTGTCGGGAAAAGGGAGGCGAAGTGCTGCGGGGAGGTCCTTGGGCGTGAGTGTGGCTAGGGAGGTCACCTTAACCCTTCTGGGATCAGTTTCCTCATCTGTCGGGGAAGGGGTGACGGGCAAGTCTCTTCCACGCCTGGCGTCATGTGAGTCTTCAGGTGAATGGATTTTCTTTCCTTCCCAACTTAGGACAGTTTTTGCCTCCTGATATGAACGGAGCCACAGAGGTCTCAGGGCTCTGCCTGTGCCACTCGCCTATGTCAGGGTCTCTCTGCAAGATGGAGGCGACCTTTCTGAAATAGCTCAGGCATCTTTAACAAAAGTCTTCTTTCCCTGGCACAGTCTAGTGGTCCAGCTTTTCACTTGACCTCCGCTTGACCCCACAAAATTGTCTACCTAATTTAATTGTCTCCGTTTAAGCAAAAGTCAGCCCTGATTTTACTGCCTTGGGACCTAGATGCTGAGAAAGTTGCTCTTGGATCTCAAGCTGTTCCAAACGGAAGAAATCAGTACGGAGCAATGTTTCTTTAAAAGCACTGGCAACGTTGAGGTTCTTAATGTGGGGCCTGAGGATTGCCCTTTGTATGAGCTCCAGAGAATCTATGGAACTCCAGAAACTTGCCAGTGTGTGTGTGATGGTACCTTACCCTCCTGGGGAAGGGTTCATTGTTTTTCATTATATTTTCAAAAGGGACCCTATTTCTCTCTCCATCTCTCCCTGCCTCTCTTCCTCTCCCCACCCCCAAGAATTATAACACACTGTTCTAAAGAAAGTCTTTAAAACGAAGCCCCCACCAAATCATTTTTCCAGCTTTAAGTTTCTTTGCTTTTGCTTATTTCTTTTTTTAATATTTTATTTTTTAGTTATAGGTGGACACAATGTTTTCGTTTTATATTTATGTGGTGCTGAGGATCAAACCCAGTGCCTCAAGTATGCTAGGCAAGCGCTCTACCACTGAGCTACAGCCCCAGCCCTGCTTATTTAATTCAATAATTCTTTAACAAATATATTTAGATCATATTGCAGTTCCCTATTCCACCTCATTATCCATTAGAATAGCTCCGATCTTGTTTCACTTTATAATTAGAAAGATTTCAGTTGTCACTTCAAGTAATCCATAATTCAGAATTCTAGGTATTTGAAAAGAAATCCATTTAAAGCATCTGTTATCATAAAAGCTGCTAAATATCTTATGTGAGCTTGACTGCTTTTAAAACTACAAGTAATACACACTTCAAATAAATCTTTTGAGAGAGATCAAATTTTCCATTCCTAGCTTCATTTATTTTTTTTAACTCATTTAAAAATCTGAGCCTAAGCAAAAATTTCAAAAAAGAGCTGTAAAATGAAGACTTCTTAGGGGAATTTACCTTTCCTCTCTCTTGGCTCTTGACCCTGCATTTTAGGTGTTTTTTGAAACCCTCAAAGAGAGATACATGAGAGCATCAACATTTTATATTTTTAATCCTGTGTTTAAGGTGAAGACTTTAATAACCAAATTGTCACCTGTTCAATCACTAACACAAGAAAATGGAGAGACTCCTTTCAGAGTCAACCCGAAAGGTAGATTTAATTCTAGGTAATCTAGGAGGGCCATCACCAGCTCTTACAGAGTAGAGAGCAGAAACATCCCAATTGTCAAGCTGGGAAGCATTTGTAGATCATCATCAGCATGTTCCTCACCTGCAGCTTGTGTGTTTTGATCTTTTCCAGCCACTGAGGGACTTGCCCAGAGGCCAGGAGAAGGCAATGTAATGCTGCTGACTGTCCTCCTGAGGGTAGTTCTGGGTCAGTGGTTTAGAAATCACCTGGAAGCTCATTAAAATGCAGACTCTAGGGCTCCACTCTGAGACCTACAGAATCATCATCTCCAGAATCAGCCTTCTTAGGAAGTCCTCTGCCTCCACTCCTCACCCCACTTCCCCTTAGTGAGTTTGTTGCAGGTGGTCCAGGCAACACACTTTAAGAAACACTGCAGGGCTGGGGTTATGGCTCAGCAGTAGAGCACTTGCCTAGCATGTGCGAGGCCCTGGGTTCCATCTGCAGCACCGCATAAAAATAAAATAAATAAAGATATTGTGTCCAACTAAAAAATAAATATATATATTTTTAAAAAGACACAGTGCAGCAGTAGCTTGGTGTACAGGAATATCTTTGGGATCTTTTTAAAATATGAATTCTGATTCCAAAGATCTGAAGTGGGGACCTAAGATTTTACATTATGAATAAGACCTCACTTTCATGAGCAGGTCCTACAGCTCATTGGAATCATCTGGGAAGTCTGAGAACTTACTGAATTCCACCTCCAGATATTGTAATGAACTAGTTTAGGGTGTAGCCTGGGGGCAGGGCACATGCTGGCCAGTAGGCAGGAGCTAGCCTGACTTCCTTATGATCATGGGCTGGTTAGGCTGTGCCCCCTTCACTGTGCCCTGTTCACCGTGCCCTCAGGGCCTTTGCTTAAGCAGAGGAACTAGTTTTATTACTGAAAAGTCCTTTAGTTTGTTATAGCAATATTCTCACCATTCATCTTTTCAAATTTGCTCATGTTTACTATCTGCTTTTCTCAGAACATAGAATTATTCACATGAGAACAATTTTTTTTAAAAAAAAATCACTGGGCACCTCTAGTAGAGAAGTTGTAAGAGAAGAATCTAGAATACATCATGGAGGTAGTCATGCACATTTCTCATGGTTGAAGTCTACAACTTCCTCTAGCCTTGTTATAGAGCACCAGAACTTAAATGAGAGTGAGACCCGAGGCCCTCACCCTGAGGTCCTGTGTCCTTAAAGATCTAGGAACAAAGAAATAAGCTCTAATATCAGCGTTTGAAAATCCTTCCAAAATGGTTTTTTTTATCCAAGTTAAGCCTCCTCAAGCTGACTGACACTTCATATTTTTTGTGCTTTTGGCTGAAAGTACCTTCCTCAGCATGGTAATTCTGATCAGCACATTCTGACCAGAAGCTGGTTGGCAGCTGTAAATGACTGTTAAAGAGGCATGATAATTAATTTTTACTGAAGTACAGTTAATTTGGTACAGCCAAGCATATTAAGACTTTAAAAAGCAAGTGGGTACTTTGGAGGAAAAATATTAAAAGTGGCAGTGGATGAGGCCTAGGAAGCAATAAGCCAGGCCAGAAATGGGACCCAGGATCTGGTGAGAGGGGTAAGGAGGAGGTAAAATTCTGCTGCTTCTCTTGAATCTTTCTTTCTCCCAAATCTTTATATTTTTTCTAGCTTTTCTTCTCAGCAGCTACTCTCTTTCATCCCCTTCTTCATATCACACCTGTACTGATATTCTGATAGTTTTATCATCCTATCTTTCTTGCCCCAAATCTAGAACATCCAGAAGGTGTTTGACAAAAATCAAATTAATCAAACATAGAAGATGTAACCCACTGAGGTTGGTAAATGTGTAGCCACAATAATCACTGCTCTGGGGGACCATATATTTCTATACCCAGGGCATTGGTCAAAATGCTGAGCACCTAACAAGAAAAACAATCTTACTATTTTAAAGTAGCAGTTGCAAATCCCAATGATTTATTCAAAAAAGGCTCAACCGCTATCAGACACTAAAAAGGCGCGTTTGACAAAATTTAACACTTATGCTTGATTTTTAAAATATGCAATATAATGGGAATCATGGATAAAATACAGTTTATATCTCTCACTCCCCAAAACCAGCTTTGCACTTAACCGAGAAATTCTGGAGATGGTCCTAGTAGTCACTGTTAAGACAGGGATGCCCACTGTCACTATTAGTATCTCAAATTGTCCTAGAAGGATTAGCCAATGCAATGAGGCAAAGGAAGTAAGGAAGCAAAAGTCTGGCTATATTCAGATCAAACCAAGAGAAACCCAAGGGAATGTCATGAAAAGCTATTTCAAAGAAAAACAGAATTCAGTGGGAAGTAAGATATAAAAATAGTACAAAGAAATTGATAGACTTCTTTTTTCTTTAAGATAGAGAGAGAGGGGAGAGAGAGAGAGAGAATTCTTTAATATTTATTTTTCAGTTTTTGGTGGACACAACATCTTTATTTTATTTGTATGTGGTGCTGAGGATCGAACCCAGTGCCCCGCGCATGCCAGGCAAGTGCATTACCGCTTGAGCCACATCCCCAGCTCCTGATAGACTTTCTTATACAAAGATATAACAGAAGAAAAGATGTGCAAAAACTTGTGTATATATCTATATCTATATCTATATCTTGGTATGAAGAAAGGGCTGGGGCCAGGAGAGAAAGGGCTGGGGACTACTCTGAAAGATCACAAAAGATTCAAATAAATGGAAAGAAACATCTTTTGTAGTAGGACTTTTAGCATCATATTAAGTTAATTCTCCTTAAGTTAGTTTATCAATCTAATATTATTCCAACATAAAAATACCAATAGTTTCTCCATCTACCTCCACTCCCCAGAACTAGACGAGCTGATTCTGAAGTGTACATGGAAAAGTAAAGTCACCAAACCTGCATTGCAAGGAAATGACAATAAAAGAAGAGGAATGAGGAGGTCTCATTACTAGTTGTGAAAATATAATTAAAGCCTGATTAATTAAAACAGTGTGTGATATGAATAGACAGACCAATGAGAAAAAAATAGAAAGTTCATAAGTAGTTCTAAATATATTATGTCAATTTAGTACCTGTCAAAGATAGCACCTCATATCATTGGGGAAGGATGGAGTTAAGAAGTGATATTGAGCTGGGCTCGATGGCGCACACCTGTGATCCCAGCGGCTTAGGAGGCTGAGGCTGGAGGATCACCAGTTCAAAGCCAATCTCAGCAAAAAGTGAGGCACTAAACAATTCAGTGAGACCCTGTCTCTAAATAAAATACAAAATAGGGCTGGGGATGTGGCTTAGTGGTTGAGGGCCCCTGAGTTCAATCTCTGGTGCCTAAAAATAAAAGAAGTGATATTGAGACTATAGGCAAGCC